GTCCATTCATTCCTAGCTCTGCTAAATCATAACTTCACTTCATACCTAGCAGTTTTGCACTAATCAGTACGAGATGGTCAGAAGGGTTTCTGAAGGAGGAAGGCGGGTATGGATGGGTACGGATCTACTTTGTAGAGTTATGATTTATCAAGGGGAGGAATTGGCCTGTTTGTTGTTTTATCATGCACCACTGATTTCCTTAAATCCTATTTGTTTTCTCTTTCCCCCTTCTTACATTTTTTAATCACAGTCAATGTATGTTTTTTCTCATTTTGACCATCATTTATAAAAAATAAAAAAAAACTTTTTCTATATTTGAAATATTTTTTGTTCTCCTGGAGCTTCTCGTGATTTTTATCTTGAAAGATTGTTTTCTTTCTTGCTTATTTTCCTTCCATTCAGCTTCACAGCAATTCTTCCAATTTCACAAATGGTGGATGTCTGGCAACGCCTGCCGATGTAATTTCTTATGGAGTACCAACCAGTCTGCACAAGTTAAACACACGTCCCACTCTGCGACTCTACCGTGCCTTTCTGAGTTCATACCTCAGTACAGCCCAATGGAATAGAGACACATGCATGCTGCAAAGGCCAAGTAAGACAGTTGTACGGTTGATTTATACAGATGGAAACTCTCTCCAGGTAATTGAACAACCCTTTCTGACCAGCCTAAGAGCGTCAGCTACCAAATGGCTCCTCACGCTACCGATGCACCTAAACTGACTCTTATGTTGCCAGTAGACTCCCATCAGAGTCTCCCTCCCCTCTCAGGATTTCACAATATAGGATAAAAGTGTGTGTGTCTGTTGGGGTGTTACCCCTGCCTTATATAACACAATGATACAAAATGATGAACATGGCAAATGTTTCAGAAGGAGTAAGTAATAAGAGCTAAAACTTAAAAGACTCTTTTGTGGTGTCCCTGTTAGATAAATACACTGGACAACAGATGATACCAACAAGTAGCCTGGAACAGTGAAGATGCAACAGCTGCATGTTTGGGGCGATTGGTACACTGTTTCCTCAGAGCAGGAAGGTCACAGATTTGAATAGAAATACTGTGCTATAAGTGCTGCAAGCTTTAATTAGCTCAGCCAATAAATGTATGCTTTTGTGTGAACCGATCTCATCATTCCAGAGTCTCTGTTGAACCAACAAAGCCCTTAAACTCTAAAGCAGGAGCTAAAAAAGAGACCCAGACCACATAATCACAGGTCTGCAAATGGCCTCAAACAACCATCCGCTTGAAAACAAACATTAAAGTCAAGGTAAACTACCTCCTATTTGAGTGTGTGTGAGTGTGTGTGCCATAGGAGCTGGCGGCCTGTCACTGTCAGACTGGGAAGCAAAAGAAGATTTGAGTGGGCTGGTTGGGGAGTAGGTGATGGAGTGTGTGAGTTGGTGACGACGGTGCTGAGGTGATGGAGTTGGATGGAGGTGGGGGTTGATGAGTGTGTGCTCACAGCGTAAGTGACACCTCTCCTCCTCAGACAGATCGTCTCTTTCTCCCTGTAATGGGTACCCTGTTAAAGCACATTTTCCCTCCATCTTCCTCTTCTTCTGCACACACACTCTATCATGCTCTCCCTCTCTGTGTCCTCCGTGGCAATTCTTGTTTACTTTTTTTTTTCTCCTTGCAGTGATATTTGCCAAATTGGCTTCATTCCGATGTCTTTCAATTTGCCCTTTTCTTTGCATAATTTTCAATCAGTCTGCAACTCTGTCTGAAGCTGCTGATTGTCTGCAAAGCAATGTGTACATCTTATATCTCACATCGCTCAGGGAAGAAAAATAGAAAGAAACGAGTAGAAAGATCAGGACAGAAGAGAATATCAATAGTCTTCTGATGGGAACATTTGGATGGTTTTATTTTTTTTTTCTTTTCCTGACAGCAACAATCCCGCCTTGCCAAAGAGCCCATTCATCCCCTGTCCAACGTGATTTTCTGTGCCAATCACACCAGGATGATTCACATGCATGCTTACTTTAAAGACACACACACTGCTAAAAAGATCTGAGGACTCGCAGGCTCAAAGGAACCACTTGTACTTGGATGCACAAGCCCACACACTCCCTCATCCCTCAAACAGATATTCTGAACCAGACTCAAACATGTTGCTTTTCTAAAATTTAATCAACAGCAGGTGCATGTCAGTGTGAGACAGTAGATGCATGTGATTACTCGTGTGTGCCGGTGCCCTCGCTAACAATCACCTCAACGAACCAGATCACACGCTATCTCCTCGCTTCAGAGCTGCCGTGCTGGCAGGAGAGCGGCACACAATCACACGGAGACCTCAGACAAGCAGGCTTCATAACTTCTCTGTGAGGAGAAAAAAAAAACAATCTCAGGAGCTTCTATCCTAAATGAAATCTCTTGCACCTGTGCAGATGCAAGGATACAAAGGAATTCTTAATGTTCCTCATTGCCAAGTACAAGTCTCCATGGCGATGGATGAGTCTCCATGGAGATGGAGATGGTCTTCCAAACAAGGGACGTGTTTTTGTGAAAGACATGGAAATGATTTTGTTTTGACTTTCATCATCGGAAACTCTAATGTTCATGGAAATGACCTGTTGTTCAGGAGAGCAGACATTTTACTGTGGTACACACACACACACACACACACACGCACGCACGCACGCACACACACACACACACACACACACACACACACACACACACACACACACACACACACGCACGCACGCACGCACGCACGCACGCACGCACGCACGCACGCACGCACACACACACACACACACATGCTTCCCCACCATATTTCTCAAGGTCTGAAATGACTTCAGCCCCAAATTTTTAATATTTTACCAGAACTCAACAGATCTTCCATTGTGTCCTCTCCCTCTGTTCTAACCAACAACGCTCCAGCCCAAACGAGGTGAAATTAGACTTGCTACACATGCTTGAAGCTAATCCCGTAACTCTCTCCGATGTAATACACAGCTGCATATTTAAGGTCCTTAGCAAATGTCAAAACATCCAAACATGGATTCAAAGCGACACCCAAACATGTACTGACTCCAGCGCAGCTTTCTGAAGAATTCTTTTAACTACGCAAGTGCCAGGAGTCTCATTGGCGATGCTGTAACATCGACACCTCATGAGTGCATTCTCCCACTTCACACATGCCCGCAATCTGAGCACATCGCCGCCCACCACAACCTTCAAAAAGTCAGTTTTAGAAATCCAAATGTCACAACGTGGAAGGTAACCACGATGTGATCCAGTCCAAATTGTTCTGAGCCCATTTTTGGATGTGTCTGTTTTTCTGTCTCTGATCTGCTGAAGCGGTTAAAGATGTGCCTTTCCAAAGCTTTTGATTTGTAATTTAGTGTTGATCTGCAGAACGTTTGGTGTGAGAATGAGTCCAAATGAAAGTATCACCGCATTATTAGATCTGATGTCTGAAACAAAGAGATTTACATCATTTCTTGCTTTTTAAACCATATCAACAATTTATTTGACAGCATGCAAAGAAATCTAAATCCTACATTCTGATGCAATTCAACATAAATCTTGACTTTTCTTCTTGAACTGAAACAAATTTTATTTTCGGTACTTTCTAGGCGGTCGACTACGAGAGTCGGAGTTCCTATTCATTTTCTGTGGAGGTCCTAAATCCCATCGTTGATCCTCGCTTCCTACCTCGAGGCCCCTTTAGGAACCGAGCTTCGATCCGAGTGGCTGTGCTGGATGCTGATGAGCCACCACGGTTCTCCCGGTCCCGATACCTCATGGATGTATCAGAGAACTGCCCTCCAGCCTGCACGGTGGGCCGGGTCAGCGCTGTAGACCCAGATACGGGTCTGACCAACAACATCAGGTACACCTCGAGGCCTTGCCCTCAGCGATCATTCGGCTTTTACAACTAAAACTCCTTCAAATGTAAAATGATTCACTTTTGTGAAGATTTTTTAAAGATTTAGATTCTTTTATACAAATAAAATGAAAGTTTTAATTTCATCTGATTGTTTGGGATTACTAGGACCTCGTAAAATTAAAGAAATAAACTTTTACACATTTCAAAATTTTAACTGATGAAAATTAACATTTAAATGTTAAAATGGTTGCTCTACATCAGAAGTAACTTTCTCTAAATTATAATAGCTGTTATTAGATAAACAGAATACAATTATAGTGCTAGAAACTAGGGCTGGATGATAATTCAATAGTTCAATATATCTATTGATAGACATGTGGTGTGATAGAAAAAATGGGTATAGAAGTTGATAAGTAGATACATTCATTTCACTATCGAGTTGTTGGTAATTGAAAAAAGTAGCTTGAAGTATTTTAGAGCTTATTATTTTTTCTAATTCACTTTTAGCTGTTAGCTCAACCTTAGCCTCTAGCCTTCTTTCTTAAGATCATAGTAAACCAAAAAGATGCAATGCAACTTCTGGGTCGCTCCTTTTTGCTGGCTTTGGTTCTTTCCACAACACTATTACTTTTTAACCTTCAGAGGTGAATTACACATGCTGGTGCAGTATGGTTAACCAGCACAGACTCACACCTCTGCAGATTGTAAACAAATGCTATGTCTCTCCTGTGCCTTTTCAAAGTGAGAAAACACTGTCGACTGTTTTGTAGGGATGTAAGAAAATATCGACATGGCAATATATCGTGATTTATTTTCCCTGCAATATTATATCGATATTCAAAAGCAGTGTATCAATTTTTTGGAAGAATTTACATGCAAACGTGTGTATTTTCTTTTCTTTTGAGCAATTTAAATGCTGACCGCTAGTTGGCAGCAGTGTGCTGTGGGTTTTGTTTCCACCATTGGAATGTTAATCTCTCTATTATGGTTCATATACCTCATGATAAACATGTTAAGTATCAGTTTGGACTGTTTATTGAATTTTTCTATAACAAATTCAGTCTTAAAAAGTCGCTAATATTGTCTGATTGAACATTGTATTGTGATACGTATCGTATCGCCACAATTTCCCCATTACACATCCTTACTGTTTTGTGATTGTTTCTCTGTAAAATTGTTTGGTAACACTTCATTTTACAGTCCCCTAATTACTTACATGATAATTACATAGTAAGTTAAAGAGTAATATTGAGTAATTAAAGTGTATAATTGTAATAAAGTGTAATTATTGTGTAAAGCAGTGTTTACTGGGAGTGATTAATAAAAATATAAACTAGAATTGAACCTGAGTTACATGGTAGTTACTGTTTAAGAACTCAGAAACAATAAACTTTTACTTACTATGTAATTAGCATGTAAGTAATTAGTAATTAGGGGACTGTAAAAGGAAGTGTTAGCAATTCTTTCTGCACCTTTGAAAAAAGACCCCTCAAACTTGTAAAAACACAAGTACACAATTGATTTATTAATTTGTTAATAATAGTAGTTTTTGTCCTGCAGACTTTAATCAGCCTATTTCATATTTTTCATGTATAAATCAGATCCAAATGAAACTCCTCACTAGTTTTCCTACAGAGAGGTAAAATTATGAACGTAATAATTTTTCAGCTATAAAACACATTTAGACAAGTGGAAAACCCAGTAGCTGCTGGCATTGGGGAACACTTTTTTGAACCACAATGGCGGCATTGTTCACTGTGATAAATCTCTTCACATTAATCACAAAACAAAACTTTAAAACCATGATACCATGTTATAAAACATGCTCCTATCTTCCCTAAATGAAAAACCAAGATGGAGGATGTAAAAACCAGACAAATATTTATGCCGTGTTGTCCTTCAGCCGGCAGCAGTCACAGGTGTTTGAAGGTTCGGTGTAATTTGCAGTAAATCTTGTTCTGCAAAGTTCAAGCAGGGAGGCGAGTGATTTGCCTTCAACAGAAACACCCATGTCCCAATTAAAAGGAAAAGCTGTGGAAGTGAGTGTGTGGGAAGGAATGATAGTTCTTCATGGAGATATTTAGATAATCCTTCCCACTTCAGAACAGCTGCTATCTGCTGTGATAATCTCCCCATATTAATTCTCTGGCCATTTGAATGCCGACTCCCTTATCGCTCCTGCACACACTCGCCCTGTCTGCCTCTCCCGCGCTGCACCCCACCGTCGTCTCTGCTGGGCTTCCTTCCCTCTGCACTCGTTTGTGCCCATTCATCATTCTGCTCACCTTCCTTCTGTCAACAGAAGTATATTTTCCTCTAACCCCCACTCTCTCTGCTTCAGATTTTCCATCGATCCCCAGTCTGATCCAGAGGCTTTGTTTCGAATCACCCCAGACGCCGGCCTCATCACCACAGCCATGGAGTTGGACCGCGAGCGTGAGCACTGGCACAACATCACAGTCATCGCCACCCAGCGAGGTCAGAGCTCCCTCTCTGTACACCAATTAGCACCATGGCATCATCAGAGCTTTTGTACCGGATTATTTCTTCTATTAGAGTAGCTTTCAGTGAAAGCGCCACTTTCCACCTCTGACACCTGCGCCCACTGATGACTAAGAGGTTTAGGAGAGTGTAAACTGTACAGGATGTTGTACGACGACTGAAAAGCTCAGTATCCAGTGAGCGACGCAGCTCGCTAAGCGGCTTAGCTCTAAAGTCATCAAGCCACAGGAGGAATGGTTTTTGGCAGGAACGAACGCTCTCTTACGGCACGCCTGACAATCAATTGATCTATATTGTGTTGGTTATCTGATGCTGCAATGGATCCCTTCTCACTGGGATACGGCCTGAATCACAGCATTTAAACAACAACAATCGTTGCTTTATTGGCACTATGTGTTTGTAAAAGGGAGCAATAAACACCTGAAGAGGAAGTAGTTCACAGCCAGCGACACTCAGGCACTTTACAGGTTATAAGTCAGCTGGGAAAACATCCCGAGTAGATGTTGTTGAGTTTGATGCTTTAGAGTTGTTAGCTATTTATTTTAACAAACCAGTAAAAGCCTTTGAACATTGCAAAGTTAGTGGTCTCGTATAAATCCCGACCTCAACTCCCATGAAATGCCTAACGATGCAGGGATGGCTGGACGGTTGATTTCCATTGTCCGAAAGGTGAAGTTAATATAAAGTTTCATAAACAAGTGTAATATTCTCATAAACCATCTGCAAAACCTCGTTTTTGGTCAATCAGGCTCAATAAGCAGACTTTTATTAAAATGACATGGTTCCATTTTCTTTTAGCTTCAGGGACGTTTGTCATTCAGAAAGTGAGTTTCTGTGCAAAAGTTAGAAAAATCATGAAGTAAATCTTCCCATAACTGTTTTCCTTGATGGGGATGGTTGTTTGTTTAACATCAAGGAAAGACCAGAGCACGCCTTAGCTACTAGAAGCTAACTATTAGCATGAGCAACTCCACAACAAAGCAGAACTCCATCAGGCTTGTTATTTGAAGGGATTAAACTTTAGTGTTGCAAAGCAAACAGAGTCAGTGGTAGAGTTGTGTTCCTGTTAGCCAATCAGGAAGTAAGACTCCAAATCCTACCGTTTCTGCTAATCTCTACTTTGGCTCACTACTACAACCTGAAACAGGAGCACCGGAGCTTTTTTTCCCCACAGAAATCAACTCACAAGGCATTCATTTACTTTAGAGACCACTGCAGATGTGTTAACCAAAGAGTGAGCATTGTCTTTAAGATGCACAGGAAGTGCTGTTTGTGATTTTTACACATATAAATAATAAATAAAAATGTCTGCTGTGTCTCCTTCCGAGTGGGGTGTGTGTGTGCGTGTGTGTGTGTGTGTGTGTGTGTGTGTGTGTGTGTGTGTGTGTGCGCGCGCGCGCGTGTGTGTGTGTGCGCGTGTGCGTGTGTGTGTGTGCACGTGTGCGTGCGTGTGCGTGTGTGCGTGTGCCGGAGGATGAGTTTTGTGAAGGGGTTTTTATTGTCAGACTGTTGTTAAAGAATTCTGGGGATGGGAGGGGATGGGGGTATGCGGGACCTTTTTACATTTGTTAAGCACTTTGAGTTGCATGTATTGCTTGATTAAGTGCTATACAAATAAAGTTGGATTGATTGATTGATTATCCAAACAGAGGCTGTCCAGGAAACTTAATGAATAAAGTCCAACCATTCAGACACTTTATGTTTAATTACCTGAACTTTTGTGGTTTTTAAACAAACATTACAAATGATGTCTAAGCGTCCTGTCACTCAGCAGCAAGGTGGCATAAATAAAGTATTTTGATGCAGAAGACAGCTCTTTTTATAAATCTGATGACGATCTTGTGCCTGAACAGATCCAAATGATCACCATCCTGGTGACGGATCAGAACTCGATTCTGTGAATCATCTTATTAGTCATTCCATTCTGAAGGTCTGGCTGCCTCCCTGCTGATCTCATGAGCCAGCTCACAACGTACTCTAGGGGTCGATGAACAACATTTCTTTTCAGAATTTTTCCAGGGGGAGGTTTATTAACGTTAGTGCAGGCCTTTAGTTAAATCCTGGCCAAATTCCAGTTTCATTTTTGGACTGTTAACAATTCATTCCAAAACAAAACAATTTGATTGCTTTTTCTTTTCTTGTCTTAGAGCGAAAATGTTGTAGGAGAATGCGTCCCATTGTGCAATGAAGGGAAGTTGTGTCCCTGCCAAGTCCTGTCCAGGACAAAGTTAATCGTTACTTAAAATCTACTCAGGGCTCCTTGTGGCAGCAGAGTGTTGGTAGGACTGAGGCAGCAGCACAGCGAGTGCCTGTCTTGAATAATGAGCTCTATCTAATAAACAGACTGTTGGAGGTTGTGTTGACATAAACACAGTGGGAGCTCTGCCATGGCCACAGGCAGGCCGGCTCACCCAGTGGCATTACGGTCAGATATTTATTTATTTACTTGTTCTATTTCACTGACGGGAAGCAGTTGCTGCCATCCATGACATGGCGTTGCTGTTGCGTGTTCGAGAACACGGTGTGGGAGTGTATGGAAATGCGTATGCAAATGTCTGTGTCTCCATTTATAGAAAGTGTGGTCGGCGGTGGTGCAGGATTGTCTGCCCAGAAACATGATGTGTGCGTCTAAGTCTGGATTGTGCCACCGCAGCCTAAAATGTTACAGAAAAAAGGGTGAATGCCGCGGAGGTTGCAAGTATGACTTCACGCATTTAGTGCTTGGTTGTGAGAACTTTATGTTTTGTGTGTGTGGTCAAGAGAATGTGATGTGGGAGAGCCTATGCCAATCCATTTAAACTGCAACCTTGTGTAACTGCATTTGGATTGACTACTCTGCCTCCCTGATCTCACTTTTTCTTAAAACACATGTATACACACACACACACACACACACACACACACACACACACACACACACACACACACACACACACACACACACAGTTACGCTCCAGGCTGTCTAGGGGGCCTGGGGTAACAATGAGGACGCATGTTCTCGTGGTAAAAGTAACAAAAACAACATTTATTTACATAAATATAAACTCAAAACACAGATTAACAAGACACATCAGCAGCAACACAAAACGAGTAACAACTAAACTCTCATATTAACCAAATTAATACAAAAACCACGAAAGACCATCACAATTTCCCTTTTTCTGAGTGATGTCTTAATAAAAGCAAGCGAAGAGGTAAAGTGTACTTTACCCCTAAAAGGCGAACGGTTAAACACAGAGAGTTGAGCTCTCACCAAAGTTGTTACCTAAAACTTAACAAAACCAAAAGCTGCTGAGGAGACAACAGACTAGAGAGAACCTCCCTGGCCTGCTGCTCCCTGAACTGAGGGCTAGCTGACATTTATGCTGCTGGTCATCAGGATCAGCTGAGAGAATCTAACCGGGAGGCAAACTAGAGAGATTGGAGCCAGGTGCTGCATCTCCTCTCTCTCTCTCTCACACACACACACACACACACTCAGGGAAAAACCCAAATGGCTCTGAGCCATAACACTCCCCCTCTAAAAAGGATGATTAAGGTTTGCACACTTAATTATACTAGATCACAATATCCCCCTCTACATACGGTCCCATGCAACCCCTGCTTCGGAAATTCCCTTGGTGGAACAACATTCAGCGGGAAGGTGACAATCGGCGCTGGGTTGATGGTGCAGACTTGGCCATGCCAAAAGTCCCACATCCACTGATCACGCAGGGTCCAGCCGAACTCTCGTCTATGGTGATTCACCGTCTGCTCGCTCAGTTCTCCCAGACAGGATTCCATCAAAGTCTTTAACACAAAGTATACGTCCACAGTGAGAAGATAACAAATTCTGACCTCCTTATTCCAGAGTTGTTAGGCAGGCTTCCACAGCAGGAGTGTTCCATCTCTGAAAGCGGAAGGGGGGGGAATGGGGGGGGGGGGGGGAGCAACGGAGCAACCACCTGGCCACTGGAGTAGCGTCCCAGTCAGATGTGCCATACCAAGTGGGTTCCTCTCACCCACTGAAGATCAATTCCTCTGATGATCCATCCTTTAGATTCATCGTCCAGGGCACAACTGAAGTGTCACCTACCCGCTCGCACACCATGCACCACCAAGGTTTTCAGAACAGCGATACTGTGAACTATTCCAAAAGCAAAACGTAAGTAATAACAGTAAGGCAGAGAACATGCGTCCAAGTAAGGTTTGGGATCAAATATCCCGGATGAGCCCCCAATTTGTTACGCTCCAGGCTGTCTAGGGGGCCCGGGGTAACAATGAGGACGCATGTTCTCGTGGTAAAAGTAACAAAACAACATTTATTTACATAAATATAAACTCAAAACACAGATTAACAAGACACATCAGCAGCAACACAAAACGAGTAACAACTAAACTCTCATATTAACCAAATTAATACAAAAACCACGAAAGACCATCACAATTTCCCTTTTTCTGAGTGATGTCTTAATAAAAGCAAGCGAAGAGGTAAAGTGTACTTTACCCCTAAAAGGCGAACGGTTAAACACAGAGAGTTGAGCTCTCACCAAAGTTGTTACCTAAAACTTAACAAAACCAAAAGCTGCTGAGGAGACAACAGACTAGAGAGAACCTCCCTGGCCTGCTGCTCCCTGAACTGAGGGCTAGCTGACATTTATGCTGCTGGTCATCAGGATCAGCTGAGAGAATCTAACCGGGAGGCAAACTAGAGAGATTGGAGCCAGGTGCTGCATCTCCTCTCTCTCTCTCATACACACACACACACACACACTCAGGGAAAAACCCAAATGGCTCTGAGCCGCAACACACACACACTTGACACTATGAGATGTTTTGGCTGAGGACAGGACACTTTGATGTGGAGAAATCTGACTGCTATGGAAGCATCAGCTCCTCTCTAGCTGGGATCCTGCAAGTTGTGGCGTGGGCCAAATGATACCAAATGTACATCACCTTCTTTAGCCAAATCGGAGCTGGCAAATGCGGTGGGAGGATTGCTCAAGGTTTTGGACAAAGACTAAAATGCTTGATTGTACCTGTGAGGGCAATTGAAAGGAATTAATGAAGTGGGTACTGGTTTCCCACATGTTTGTGTCCAATAGAAACTCATTATGATCATTTTCCAATTACCTGCATGTGCATTTGTGTTGGCAACATGGAGATATGCTTGCTTTCTTTCTCTTCCAGACAACCCCAACCAGGTGTCTCGAGTTCTGGTTGCAATAGAGACTTTAGACCTCAATGATAACGCGCCTGAGCTTGACAGGCAGTACACAACAGCAATGTGTGACTCGTCCAACATCGGAAAGGTCAGTAGGTGTTAAAGTACCATGTGTGGATAAAGATGTTTGTTCCAAAACACTCATTTTCTCTCAGGTTCTTTTTGAATAGTTAAAATTATTTATAAATATTTTTATTTTAGTTTTGATAATAAAGATGAACATGGACTGAAACGCTGGTTAATCTATCTTCTGTAACTCCGTTGATCTGGCTCAAGGTCAGCTGTCACCAGGTCACCAATCTATCTCTCTCACACACACACACACACACACACACACACACACACACACACACACACACACACACACACACACACACACACACTGAAGAATAAGTCAGTCACAGGAAATCCCTACTCTCAGTAAGAAGAGGGGGTTCATGTTTTTATCCAAAGCCAAGAGTGGAGAGCTAAGACTAAAACAAGGGACTTTGGAAAGCCAAAAGGATCATTATTTGTGTGAGTGAGCTTTGGTAACTCATAAAAGTCTTTTCTAAGGATCCCTTTGGTAAAAAAAAAAAAAATAAGGATTTTTTTTTCTTTTTCCCATTAAACAAAATCTGAATTGAACAACGAGCCAAGATCTGACGCAGGTTCTGAACTGTGAATGACGAGTGTCTACATCCAGGAATCAACCCAACATGCATGCTTGGAACCATGGGAGTCCATTGAAGGAGCAGGAGCTTGTTTAGTGTAGGTGTGTAAAGATGTTTACTGTTAAGATTCAAACTTGAAAACTTTATTTTCAATCCCAACATGGAGATCACCTTCTCTGGCTTGGAGACGAGGTCCTACCTCAAGAGGAGTTTAAGTATCTCAGGTTTTTGTTCACAAATGAGGGAAAGATTGAGTGAGGGATCGATGGGCCGTTTGGTGCTGCGTCTGCAATGAGGCAAGCGTTGTACCGGTCTGTCGTGGTGCAGAGAGAGCTGAGTCAGAAGGCCAAGTTCTCGATTTACCAGTCGATCTATGTTTCTACCCTCACCTATGGTCATGAGCTTTGGGTCGCTACACAAAGATCACAGATACAAGAGACCTAAATGGGTTTTCTCTGCAGGGTGTCTGGGCTCTCCCTTAGAGATAGGGTGAGAAGCCTGGTCATCTGGGTGGGGCTTGGAGTAGATCTGCTGCTCCTGGCGAGGTTTTCTGGGAATGTTCAATCGGGAGAAGACCCGAGAAAAGACCCAGGACACGCTGGAGGACATGCTGTCCTGGGAACGCCTTGGCATTCCCTAAAGGAGCTGGCTCAAGTGTCAGAGGAGAGGGAAGTCTGACTGAGCCCCTCCGACCTGACCCTGAATAAGTGGAAGAAAATGGATGGATGGATGGATGGATTCAGACCAGTCCATGAGGGGTTTTGTTTTTAGGCCTTTGAGGTGATTTTACATAAAAGCAATAAATAAACAAAAAATACTTTGAGATGGAAGAAAATGCATTAGAATAAAATTTACAGAATTATTAGATTCTTCATGCAGAAACAATTAAAGCAATGAGTGACCTCTAAGGTCTTTAAAGGTCAGCATGCTTTTCTTATCATGACAAGTAGTTTGTCAAAGTGCTCTCAAATATTTTTGTGACCAATTAAAACCAACAAAACTGAAAACTTTTTGGTTCTTTTTGAGAAAACAGTTGACTTCAGCTAAAACACCACCCCATATGCCCAACAGAAGGTAGAAGGAGTGATTCTGAACACCAGTTTTCTGAATCCAAGGATTTCCAGCATTTGGTTATGGATTCGTTTTTCAGCTAAACAGTGTTCAGAATAAAACAATTAAACTAACAAAAGGAAGGAAAGTAAATTCTCTGGCCATAAGTCAAACATTTTCTAGAGAGGTATAAAATGCTTCAAAATCATCTAAAGATTGAAAAAAAAATCAATAAATAAACAAAGTCACTAAAGTCACAAAGGATATGTGAGCCAAGTTTGTAGGATAATTTCCTGGAGGAATTCAAGTAATTATTGCTTGCAATTGTGCCTGGTCTCAGCACAAATATCTTTGTGTCGCCAATTCAGTCTGGTACAAAATTAAAAAGAGGAAAAAACGAATCAAATTCCTTTATGGATCCTTAATATGCATCTGAAATTAATCTGGAAAATTCAAAAGGTCGGTTTCTTCTTACACACACACACACACACACACGCACGCACGCACGCACGCACGCACGCACGCACGCACGCACACACACACACACACACACACACACACACACACACACACACACACACATATATATGTTTTTCTTTATGAATTGCTTAGAAGTTTTGACCATTATTGCTCTGTATTTATTTTCTATTAAAGGACCATGGAACATGTTGTGACCTCCCACTGGCTGGACTTTTGTTGCCGCCTTGGGGGCAACTTTACAGAGCTGCACTTTGAAACCACTCACTTCTCAGTTTAAGCACCTCCACAAGTTGTCAGCAGCGCTGAAGATTGCAATTTGTCAAGAAGATGAGAGACGAACTTACATTTCCACAGCGGTACTTGTGGCACACTTTTATGTATAGGTCAGCAGCACTTGGCCGGATTCTCAGACCAACACACAGTCACCGAAATAACACACGTAGAAGGAGGAAAACAGACTGGCAGTGGGGGTGCAGGAAAATTGCAAGCCAGTGTGGACAGCTGGGCTTGTAAAAATAGAAGCATGTATTTTCTGCCGGACATGGATGATGTGAATGACTGGAGTCCATGGGCAAAACACCGATGAGAAAACGAGCAATTAGCATCAAAACTTTTATATCAAGTTTCTGCATCAATTAATATTATATGTGTTGCTTTAAAACTGCACATGTCAGCAGTATTTTAGACCCATAAAGGTACAGAGTCATTTCTGATTAGATACAGGTGAAAGTTGCAAAATTAGAATGTGCTGCAAAAGTTCATTTTGTCAGTATTTCAACCTAAAAGGTGAAACTAATATATGTGTAGGAATTAATATACGTATTTATTTGGGTGTGTAATGTCCAGAAATGGTCATTTTTCACCTACAGACTGACCTACATGCCATCGGTCAGCTGCAGACATGAATCTGCCTCTGCGCGTCTGTTAATTTTCCAAGTTGCAGGAAAAGATTTGACGCTGCATGTTTACACTCAGATTGTCAAGACTTCAACATCATGTTCCCTTCTCAAGGTCCCTCTGTGCCAAGCCTGTCTGCTTATCTAGGCTGGACTGGACTGTCATAAGAGTGACTGTTTTCAGCTCATATGAGTTAATCAATCGTCAAATGAATGATATATGAATAATAATAATGTCTTGATTAATCTGTGCTTAAGTTAATGAGGTTGATTAATCTTTGCTTGAATCACTGAAGTTTGAAATGAATGCTATTATTACATTGAAAGATCTATATATATGATAATCAGTAATGTTTGATATGTCTAGGCAATCATCATCTACACTCAGACACAAGGTTCATTAGAGATAAATTAAAGTTAAGTTAAACATCATGACACATAGATCTTTCCTTATTCAGAGCATCCTGTATCTGAAAGAAGGCGTGATGTTCTGAGGTTTTCTTGTTAACACCCCTCAACATGGCATGTTACGATTGGACAAGAAATCATAATATGAGAATATTAGAACAGAGCTCACTTCACGGTGCGTCAGATCTAGAGAAAGCTACGGAACAGCCGTGTGGAGCAAAATCTCTTTAACCCAGAGCTGTTGAAGCTGTCAAAAAAAAACCTGCTACACGCTGAAGCTGGCACAGCAAATGGTTCCTGCAGAACAAAGCTGATACTGTTCCGACTCCCCAAGAGTCCTTCTAGATGCAAACGATTGTATCTATCTGTTGTGACTTGGAAACATCTCTGGACTGGAGAGTCGGTTCTGCAGTTATTCTACAAACCTCGGTGCCGCGAGGTCATCCGACCTTCCTGACCTCTGGATCCGCGAAGAGGGTCTTCCAAAAGGGTGAGGTAGACACAACATGAATCGCGTCTGATGTGGTTTTGAAAAGAATCAACTTCCTAGTTAATGCAAACCAAATTCTCCTTTTTACACCCAAAACTCAGTTCTTCTAGATACGAAGGTTCTGATAACCTCACATTCACACATAGTCACCATACATCACATCCCATCCACCTAGATCCATCCATCACAATAGTCTTAGTTAACTTGTCATGTTTTTAATTGTTTGGAAAATAAATTCTTACTTTTTATAAATTTGACTCTTTTCTTGAATTAATACGAAGTGTCGTACAATCCCTGAATAAACAAAGAATTCTAAATCTTCTGGTTAAACATTCAAAGACCAATCAGACTGGATTTCCTTATTCATGTGGAATATCACATCACATTGGTCAAAGTGTAAGGTAGTATATTAAGCTTTAAAAGCACCCAAATACATACAATAATTACTTTGTTACAGGTGCTTTAGACACAATCTGTCGAGTCTGTGTACCCTGATCGGAGAACCCCGGGGTAGGTCCGGAATGTGTTGAGGTCCGGGGACCCCAGAGGTACCGAAGTCCGTAGAAGAAGCCGCAGTGCCGACTAGACCTGTCTCGAGATGTCTCCAGGTCACGCCACCTGTTATTTGCATCTTAGGAATAACTCTTAAGGAGTTGAAGTTGGTTCAGCTTTATTCTGAAGGAATCCTTTTGCGGCAGCAGCTGTAGCATGCAACAGGTTTTTGACAGCTTGTCAAAGATGCGATGGGAGCAGAGTTTCCCTCCGAAGGCCAGTCAGAGTTAGGCTCAACTGAATCACTCAGGGAGTGATGCTGTTTTAAAATAATGGCCATATCTTGGTTTATTGATAAATCAGAAATTGCCCTGTAAAGGGGTTTTGCCAACAAACTCAGATACACATGTCCTGACTCGAGGGAGATGTTTAACCCAAGACATGCAGAATCAACACGACTTCACTGGGTAAGTTAAAGAAAAGTTATTTTATTTGCAAAACCGGAATAAAAGGTGCACCGGGAAGTCCAGTGAGGGTGTGCTGTACAGCGTTAGTATGGTAGTCCAAGATGTGCAGGAAAGGTGGGAAGCCAAGATGAGTGCTGGTGGAGGTGCAGCAG